ATTCTGTTATCTCTCTAATTTTCTTTGGCTTGGAAGATCCGTTCCTTGGTCTTTTTTTTCTCCTTAATGAATATACCACTTTTGCAGACTAGTATTGTCAATTCTGTTACAGAATACAGTTCAAGAGGTATCTGTCAGATTAGTCCCCTATGAAATTACTTTTTCGTTTATATAGGAAAATTTCCCATTCTGTTATAGCAAATAATATTGATAAGTTAATAATAATTGGGGCTGGAGCTATAGCACAGCGGTAGGGCGCTTGCCTTGCATGCAGCCAGCCTGCCAAGCCGGGTTCGATTCCTCCGTCCTTCTCGGAGAGCCCAGCAAGCTACCGAGAGTATCTCGCCCGCACGGCAAAGTCTGGTAAGCTACCCGTGACGTATTGGATGCCAAACACAGTAATGTCTCACAATGGAGACTTACTGGGCCCGCTTGAGCAAATCAATGAACAACGGGAGGACAGTGACAGTGACAATAATAATTGATGGTGTTTTTAAGAAGGAAGGTGCCCTGATTTTTCATTTAGCTTTTTATTTATTCCTTTACTTATGGCTTTTAGTTTTTTTCCAGTAGGTTATACTACAGTAACTGTCATTTATGTCAATGTTTAAGCCATTTTTATTTTAATTTTATTTTTTTGATAAATAACATGTATTAACAATTTGACATTGCCCTTTGTCTTAACAGAAACATTCAAGAAGAAGAAAACATCATGTAAGTCTTCCCATAATGTGTGGTCAAATGCAATTTTTTAACTTATTATAGAAATAGAATAAATTCTCATATTTAAAATGTATCCATCAACAAATAGATGAAGCATATATTAAATTTTTATGTTTATGATACACTAATAAATATTCAAAACTACACGGATAAAATCTTGGTTACTAGTAGTATTTAAATGTAATTCAACAAGGCACTTGAAGAATCCAATTGTTCTTTCAAAATTTCAGTGTTTTCCGATATATATAAATGTCTTTCTTAAATAATAATTGAAATTTTTATTTGATTACTATAATAAATATAGAGAAAATTAAAATTTAGTTATCTTTTGATTATTTTTTTTGATGATCAGTTGCCTTTTTAAATTTTATTTATTTATTTATTTATTTTTATTATTGAGACACCATGAGGTACAGTTGTAGACTTACAAATTTTTGTGCTTGGGTTTCAACTATACAATGATCAAATACCCATCCCTCCACCAGTGCCCATTTCCCACCACCACGGATTCCAGTATCCCTCCCACCCCCCATCCCCCCTTCCCACCCTGCCTCTGTGGTAGGGCATTTCCTTTTGTTCTCGCTCTCCTATTGGGTGTTGTGGTTTGCAAAAGAGTGTTTTAGTCATTTTTAATCCAGCCAATAGGAATCTCTTCAAGCTGGCTTCTGCGTCTTTTTGACATATTGATATTACTTGTTGGCCGGAGTGATAGCACGGCGGGTAGGGCATTTGCCTTGCATGTGGCCAATCCGGCTTTGATTCCTCTGTCCTTCTCGGAGAGCCCAGCAAGGTACTGAGAGTATCCCGCCCGCATAGCAGGGCCTGGCCAGCTCCCCTTGGCGTATTCGATATGCCAAAGATAGTAACAACAAGTCTCACAATGGAGACATTACTGGTGTCCTCTTGAGCAAATTGATGAACAATGGGAGGACAGTGTTACAGTGCTATTCACAATAATTTATCACATTTAATATTCGAACACCAATTCCACCACATTATACCTTCCCACCACCATTATTCAAATTTTCCCACCTCTACCCAAGCTGGCCCCAGAGGCAGATACTAAATAATTTACTTTGTATTACTTGTTATGGATAATCCACTAAAAATGATCCAAAAAAGGTTTCTTAGAGAAAAGCATGTGAAAATTGTTGTATCTCACCTTGGAGCCATTAGGCCCTTATGTAAGAAATTGAAAATATGTTGTTACAGGTTGAGCCTTATGTGCATATATATATATATATATATATATATATATATATATAATTAAGATTGGCTGCCTTCGACTTTACACTCCATCAGATGTGATGTGCTACTCTTGGTATATCACTGGCATAAAGTTTGAGAATTCTCTGGGAATTCTAAAATTTTAAATAGGGTGATAGACTGCAGTTAAATTTTTAACTGGATGGTGACTTTGGGTCAGATCTTTGCAGCTTGTTGCTCTCTTCCAAGAGATTTATTTGTGAGTCTCTGGATCATGGCTGTTAATGAGCTTATGCGGTATCAGAGGAAGTTTGTGGGTGTGACTGCCAGCTCCTGGGAGAACAAGGAGATGGGGGGAGGTCGCCCATTCCTAACTCTGTGAGAGCCTGGAGATTTCAGTCACAAAACCCTCATACCTGGGTTTTTTTAGTAGAGTCATTTTTCTGCGTGAAAGACTGGCTCGTCCTAAGCCTATGGAGATTGGCCATCTCACTGTTCTTAATAACACTTCCCCATATACTTTTTTGTTTTTGTGTTTGTATTTCAGCCACGCTTGGTGGTATCAGAGCTTAATTTGGCTTGTGCTCAGGTCTCACTCTTGGTGGGGCTTGGGAGACTGTATGTGGTGCAGGGGATGAACCCGGAGTCAGCCATGTGCAAGAGAAGTGCCTTACCCCCAGTACTTCACAGCCCCACTAGCCCAATGTTAAGTACTTGCCATTATTTCTAACCTTATTCAGAACTTAGGATGTTTTAGTGAACAAAACAGATTGAGACTTTGCCTTCAGGAAGTTTCTTTTCTAAGATAAAAATATAATTTTAATGTCAACTTAATAGTAAACTGTGATATGTTATAAAGAATGATTGCTATGGGGAAAAGGGGAGGTCATTTTTTTAAAAATTTTATTTTATTTTATTATTTTCTTTTTTTTTTTTTGCTTTTTGGGTCACACCTGGCGATGCACAGGGGTTACTCCTGGCTCTGCACTCAGAAGTTACTCCTGGCGGTGCTCAGGGGACCATATGGGATGCTGGGAATCGAACCCGGGTCGGCCGCGTGCAAGGCAAATGTCCTACCCGCTGTGCTATCTCTCCAGCCCGGGAGGTCATTTTTTGTGGGTTGCAATTTTTGAGTGGAGAACAGGCCTCACAAAGGTGCAAGCCACCCCACAATTCATGGGTTGTGCTGGGAAGGAGGTATCTAGTTAGGAAGACACAACCTATGCAAACGTTGTGTGGAGGAGAGGAGAGGTTAGGAAAGCAGGTGGGCCATGGAATAACGTTCTGGACATTTGTTTTTTAATTATCAAGAAAAAAAGAGGGGCTGGAGCGATAGCACAGCGGTAGGGCGTTTGCCTTGCGCGCAGCCAACACGGCCGATACAGGTTCGATTCCCAGCAACCCAGCATCCCATATGGTCCCCCGAGCACCGCCAGGAGTGATTCCTACGTGCATGAGCCAGGAGTAATCCCTGAGCATTGCCGGGTGTGACCCAAAAGCAAAAAAAAAAAAAAAAGAGCTTATACATATATAATTTTTTGGTTTTTCACCCCAATTCCTTTTGTTTTGTTTTGTTCTTTGTTTTCAGGCCACGCCCAGCAGTGCCCAGGAAACTCATGTCTCTGTGTACAAGAATCACTCCTGGTGGGGCTCGGAGGGATTTAGAGGTGCTGAGGATTGAACCCAGGTTGTCTACATGCAACACAAGTGCCCTACCTACCAATGTTCTGGAGGCCCCATTTTGAAGGCCAATAAAATAAAATAAAACTGAGGGAATGAAATGAGCCTGGGAAGTAGGCAGTAGGAGAAGATACAAGAGGAGCTAAGGGTCTAAGGGCCTGCTGTATTATCTCTCTGCTCCTGCCCACAATGCCCTTTTTTGAAGCACATGTTTGTGAAGAGCTTACAAAGACAGGCATTTGGGTGTGGACAAGGCCCTTAGATCATTAACTCCTCTTGTATCTTCTCCTACTCCCTACTTCCCAGGCTCATTTCATTTCCTCAGTTTTATTTTATTTTTTTTTTGGCCTCCAAAATGGGGCCCCCAGAACACTGCAATTGCTTCTTGGCCAACCAGATCAGTGGTTCAGTATGGGGCACCATGTGGTGCTGGGGATCAAGCTGGGGTCAGTCACATGCAAGTTTATATCCTAACCCTGAATTTTTCTCTAGCTCAGTTGTTTTTATGACATATCCTCAACTCTGGGCAACTGTTTCTCAACCATAGAGCAAATTAGAAGTGAGAGAGACACTGGTCCCTCTTTCCTAGAGATACTAATTCCTTAGTTACACTTTTAGAGTAGAGAGTAGGTCTCATGAAGAAGGTGATTTTCACAGAGGTGACAAGACCATCCATGGGGTTATATCGGGAAGGAGGTTTTTAGGGTGATGACACAGCCTATACAAAGACTGTGTAGGAGAAGGAAATTCAGGGACTGAGAGCTTGAGAGACTGGGATGGGGATGGTGAGCAGGCTGGGTCCCAGCAAATGCCATCACCTGGTGGATACAAATCTTCCAGTCCCTCACTCTGACTTTCCTGACCGCCTCTCACACACACAGACACAACCACACAGACCCATAGACACACAGAGCACAGACACACAGACACAGGCACACAAAGACACACTCACTCACAACCACACTCACCCACAGACACACACAAACACACAGACACACAGATACACACACTCACAACCACACAGACACACAGACACACAAACACACAAACACATACACAAACACACAGATACACAGATACACACACTCACAACCACACAGACACACATAAAGACACAGACACACAGATACACACACTCACAACCACACAGACACACAGACACACAAACACACAAACACATACACAAACACACAGATACACAGATACACATACTCACAACCACACAGACCCACAGACACAGACACAGACACACACAGACACACACACACACACACACACACACACACACACACACACACATACCCGCGCTTGCGCCTGACACAATGGCTGGGTGGGGCGGGGGAACTGGCTTCCTCTGTGGAGATCTCAATCTGGGCACTGAGTTCCCTCCCCAGAAGCACAGGAACCTACTCACAGACCTGGCCCCACACTCCTTGCTCAAAGGGGCAGTCAGAACAGGCTGAAAATAGAAACCGCTTCCAAAAAGATTAAGGTAAATTCGGGGAGGGGTAGTGCCATAGAGGGCAGGGGCTAGGAGGGCGGGTGAGAGGTAGAAGGCTGGCTTCCACCCAGGGAAGCAGGTCACAAGCTAAAGGAATGTGCTCTTGTGCGTGCTCTTTGCGGGTGTGGGAGAGGCTGCTAGACATGAAACCCTTTAGCTTATGTCTAGATACCTGGGCCTTACTCCCTGCCCAGCCTTGCCTCCCCTCACTGCCACCGCCAGCTGGGTGGGTAAGCTCCATCCAGGCAGCTGGCAGAACTTGGACCTGTAGACAGTCCATTTAAATTTAAGCCTCTCTTAGTTCCTATAAATCCGTAGTCCCAGGATTTGAGCCCTCACATCTCCCAGAACCCTGGTATGCGCATGTGGATTGTGGTGTGGTTGTGGGGGAGGGGTGTCCGGTTGGGAGGAGAATCGGATTCCTGTTTCCTGCCCTTATTCACTCAGTCCTGGGAGGTGACTGAGAGTGGAGAGGACTCCAGGGTGAGTGTTTGGGGTCACGTAAACTGGGTACCCACAGGAGGCCTTAACTGGGGGTGTGGGAGGACAGCGGAAGTCAAGGGGGATAGGATTTCGGAGGGGAATGGTATGGGTGGGGGAGCTGCTTGCTGGCTTGGTCACTTCCATAAGGGGCTTCCTGCCAAAACTCAGGGACCGGTGACTTGCAGCCTCACTGGGTCATTTCTGAAGAATCCAAAATGGGGCGTGGAGAGGTTCGACTCTCCTGTTGACTCTAAAAGGGAGTTTTGGGGCCCTGGATTTCCTAGCCCCAACTCTGCAGCCTTCTCAAGAGTGCACCCACCTTTCCTTCCTGTGGGAGTAAGTGAACCTCAGGCACCACATCCTGGCCCCACTGGTCCTGGGTCTCTCATTCACCTCCCGGGGCCTCCTGGCAGTGCCCAGGTTTCCACTGAACCGGTCTTTGGGACGAGCTGAGGGTGGCAGGGATAAGAGAATGGGACAGGAGAGACTGTGCTGACCAAACGGCCTCCTGGTCTCTTGGGGTCACAGGCTCCAGGAATCTTCATGGCAGGAAAAGGAGGCTAAAAATAATCCGGAAAGGGAGAGTCCGGAGAGAGGAACTGGGAAATGGGGGGTGGAGGGCCTTTCAGAGCAGGGAAATAATGATGCATCCCTCGAAGCCCAGGCGCACTCACACGCACACCCGGCACATGTTCACTGTGGACACTCTCCCCCTGCGGTCACCGCACACGGAAATCTCACTCACGATCTGCCTCTCCTGTAAACACAAATACCGTCTCTCCACACATCAAGCAATCCCACCACTTACACAATACTCGCAACACGTCTGATCCTCCACCCAACACACACCAGACCGACACTACTGAAATTCCCAAGCCTTCACTGAGGGGCCCCCAGCCCTGCCTCACTGGTTCTTGTGGCCTGACTGTGGCAGCTGGGGGTTCCAAGCAAGGCTGTCTGGGAGGATGCAGGGGTTGGCATGAGAAGGAGGGGAGAAAGATGGAGAAGTGAGAGAGAAGGCAATGGAAACGAGGAGAGAGGTGGGTACCCACCTTCGCTCCTGGCCAGCACATTTGCTGCCTAGTGGCCTGTCTACCCCCAGTAGCGGGAGTTTGGGGAACATTAAGGGTCCTTCTTTTATCCTTCCCTCTTCCTCAGGGGATGACTCCAGCAGAATACCCCACTCCTTTGAAGAGCTCAGAGGAAGATGTCAGCCCAGTCTCTTCCCGCAGCAACACCCCCTACCCAGAAGCCCCCTCGGATCATCCGCCCCCGTCCCCCTTCTCGGCCCCGGGCTCCCCACTCCCCAGAGCCCTCCTACAATGGCTCTTCTCCCCAAGAACCTCTCCCCACCTCCAATGATGCACCAACTCCAATGTGCAGCCCCATTTTCTGGGAACCCCCAGCCTCCTCCCTCAAGCCTCCTGCCCTCCTTCCCCCCTCTACTTCTAAGACCAGCCTTGACTCCCAGGCTTCCCCAGATTCACCTGCTAGCTCTCCTAGCCCAGTGTCCCGGTGTTCCATCTCCCCAGAACCTGCTCCCCGATCTCCAGTCCCCCCGCCCAAGCCCTCTGGGTCACCCCAAACAACCCTGTCCCGGGTCCTGCCTGAGGATGGCCCTGCCTCAGCCCCAGGCACAGTGCGGAGACTGGCTGGCAAGTTTGAATGGGGGGCAGAAGGCAAGGTCCAGTCTGGGGATACCCTGGAGTATGATTGCCAAGGGGCAGTGGATGTGAATGGGGAGAGTGTGACTCCCCAGGGCACCCTCACTGGGAGTGGGTCCCAGAATGGAGCTCCAGGTAAGTGCTTTGTGTGGCCAGGGTGGGCTCAATCTCACAGCTTTGCTTTCAATGTTTAAAGACTGGGTCATTTCCAGGGCTACCTTTTCATAAAATAGATTTCATGCTCGGGAAATCTGGTTCCCAGGGGCTGGTAGATGTATCCAGCCTGGGTTTGAACCCTGGAACCACACAGTCCCCCCAGCACTGCCAGGGGTGCCCTGGAGACTCCCAGAGCTCTGCCAGGCCTAAGTAACTAGGCATCACCAGCTCTTGCATTGAACCATCTGGTCGGGTTGGTCAAGAATTTCCATTAGGGCCCCCAAGCCTCCTGAGCACTGCCTAGGATGCCCCCTATCCCCAAAGAGGAAAATCTGTTTTTTTCTATTTTGGGGGGTTTGAAGAGGGCCAGTGTTGAGATAGATGCTGGGGGCTGGACCTAAGGGCTTTCTCTTTAGGACACCCCTGTCTCCCACAGATGCTGCCCTGGCTTGCCCTCCCAGCTGCCCCTGTGTCTGCCATGTGACCCGGCCTGGCCTGGAGCTCCGATGGGTACCTATGGGGGGCTATGAGGATGCTCTCAGACCCCTCTGCCGTGCCTCCCCACTGAGAGCCTCACGCTCACGCCCAAACCCTCAGAGCATCAGTCATCCCCCAGTTGTCCTCACTTCCTACCGCTCCACTGCTGAACGTAAACTCCTACCACCCTTAAAACCCCCCAAGCCAATTCGAGTCAGACAGGATGCCTCCCCCTCTGGGGACACTCCATCACCAGACCTCGAACTTCCTTCTGAAGGTGGAAACCAAACAGGTACAGAGCTTCGGGGACTGGATTTTTGGGCAGGGAAGGATGGTGTTGTGGAGGGGTTGCCATTGCCAAGCCAGGCAACTGCAAAGCTTGAGAGGCCCTGGCTTTTGTTGTTATTCTTCCACCAGGGGCACTGGGACTGATGGGAGTTGTAGTAATAGTCATCTACTGGGAAGCGGGGGAATTGTTCTTCTCATTGAGTTCTCTCTCCAGGGGACAGTCCTGATGAAGTTCCTCGGAGCACTCCTCCAGCTACTTTGGAGAGCAGGTACCAAACATCCCTTCCCTTTCATTTGCCCTCCTTATGCTTCGCTAGTCCACAAACTCATTTGTAAACCAAAAGCATTTCTTCTGTTGATAAACTAAAATTTTAAATTTATTTTTGAATTTTGGCCACACCTAATGTGTTCAGGGCTTACTCCTGGCTCTGTACTCAGGGATTACTCCTGCTCACTCCTGGAAGTGCTCAGGGAACCATATGCAGTGCCAGGAATCAAACCTGGGTTGATGGCATGCAAGGCAAGTGCCCCCTACTCCCTGAACTATCTCTCTGGACCCTGTTCATCATTTTTAAAAAATTTTTTTCCATTATTTTGGTTTTTGGGCCATACCTGGCATTGTTTCAACACTTACTTGAGGCTCTGCACCCAGGAATTACTGGTGGTGCTCTGGAAACCATTAGGGGTGCCAAGGTTCAAACTGGGTTGGCTGCATGCAAGGCAAGTACCCTACCCACTGTACTATCTCTTTTGCCCCTTGTTGATCATTTTAGATTCTTCATTATTATCAGAGGGCTGGAGCGATAGCACAGCGGGTAGGGCGTTCGCCTTACAAGCGGCCAACATGGCCGACCCGAGTTCGATTCCTCCGCCCCTCTTGGAGAGCCCGGCAAGCTACCGAGAGTATTCGATATGCCAGACACAGTAACAACAAAGTCTCCAATGGAGACGTTACTGGGCCCGCTCGAGCAAATCGACGATCAACGGGAGGGCCTTTACCTTTACCTTTACCATTATTATCAGAGGGCTGGAGCGATAGCACAGCGGTAGGGCGTTTGCCCTGCACGCAGTCAACATGACTGACGCGAGTTCGATTCCTCCGGCCCTCTTGAGAGCCCGGCAAGCTACCGAGAGTATCTCGCCCTCACGGCAGAGCCTGGCAAACTACCCGTGATGTATTCGATATGCCAAACACAGTAACAACAAGTCTCATGATAGAGACGTTACTGGGCCCGCTCGAGCAAATCGATGAACAACAGGAGGACCGTGACCGTGAGATTATTATCAGAGTTAATCTAGGCCTGTTCATTTTTCCAGCAAATACTTACTCATTGTGCTCATTGTTCCTTTTTTATGTTTAGTTTTGTTTTTTGGGGGGCCACACCCAGCGATGCTTAGGAATTACTCCTGGCTCTGCACTCAGGAATTACTCCTGGCAGTGCTTGGGGGACCATATGGGATGCTGGGAATCAACCCAGGGTTGGCTGCGTGCAAGGCAAATGCCCTACCTGCTGTGCTATCACTCTGGCCCTTTGTTGCTCCAAATTTTTAATTTGGGTGAACTAACTTGGATGTGGTAGTGCAAGTGACCAGAAAAAGAGAAAGAATATGTGAGAATTTGATCATTTGAATTTTATAGTTGTACAAACAGGGCATTTCAGACAATGGTTGCTACCAGAAAGGACTGGAGATAGAGACCTGAAAGTTTTTGGCTCACGGTAATTGAGATCAGGAATAAATGGTGCCTATTTAGCACAAGATTTCCCATTTAACAGGTACATAAAAGGAAATAACTGGACGAGGCCAGAGTGGTAGTGCAGCGGATAGGGCACTTGGCTTGATGCAGCCGACCCAGATTTGATCCCCATCACCCCATATGGTCCCTGAGCCTGCCACTAGTAAGTCCTGAGCACTGCCTGGTGTGGCCTAAAAACAAGATGCATATGAAACAACAAACAAACAAACAAAAAAACTCCCCGAAACTGAAGACAAAAGATGTGGCCCAGACTGGAGCGATAGTTCAGCGGGTAGGGCATTTGCCTTGCCTGTGGCTGACCTGGGTTCGATCCCCGGCATCCCATATGTTCCCCCAAGCACCAGGAGTAATTCCTGAGTGGAGAGCCAGGAGTAACCCTTGAACATGGCTGTGTGTGACCCAAAAAGAAAAAAAAAATGTGGTCCCAGTGGCAGAATTTGTGCCTGCATATGTGAGGCTCTGGGTTCAATCTCCCACTCCCCAGGCCCCCTTCATAGCCCCCTTCTGCCTCCAAGCACTGCTGGATGTGGTTCCCACAACAATAAAAGAAAAGTCTGGACTTTGCCAGAGTTCCTGCATTTCAGTTGTGCAATCCCCACAATTCACTCTCGCTGGCCTTTGGGAACTCCCTCCTTTCCTTCCTGTCTTCACAGAGAGGAGGTGCTGGAGCTGCTGAAGGAGCAGAACTGGGAGTTACCTCTGCAGGATGGTGAGGGCTGCTGGCCCCGCGGTCCCTGCTGTAAACACCAAGCCATGGGGCAGGGTTCTGGGGCACTGGATTCGCCTGCTGAGCCCTATCTGCTCTCTAGAACCCCTGTACCAGACCTACCGCGCAGCTGTGCTGTCAGAGGAGCTGTGGGGAGTGGGCGAGGACGGGAATCCTGCACCATCCAATCCTGGAGAAGCTCCCACTTTCTCACGCCCTCCTGGACCAAAAAACACATTGTGGCAGGAGCTTCCAGCAGTGCGGGCCAGCGGCCTTCTGGACACCCTCAGCCCCCAGGAGAGGCGCCTGCAGGAGGTAGGCACTCTGCTGGGTGCAGGGGTCAGAGGGTGTTGGATCGTTCTCTGAGGGGACTTGGTGCTCCCTCTCTCCCTGCCCTTCTTCCTCAGAGCCTATTTGAGGTGGTGACATCGGAGGCCTCCTACCTGCGCTCCCTGCGGTTGCTGACGGACACCTTCGTGCTGAGCCAGGCCCTCCGGGACACGCTTACTCCACGGGACCACCACACTCTCTTTTCCAATGTGCAGCGAGTTCAGGGAGTCAGTGAGCGGTCAGTGGGTCCCTGCTTTCCCTGTGCCAGGTCCTCCCAGGCGCTGTGTCATAGTTCAGCTCTAGATCCTGGGAGCTGCTCTCTGCCCACCTTTCTCTCCTAATGCTTGTGCCCCTGTATCCTCAGGTTTCTGGGAACATTGCTATCCCGTGTGCGCGCCTCCCCCCATATCAGTGACCTGTGTGACGTGGTGCATGCCCACGCCGTGGGCCCTTTCTCCGTGTATGTGGATTATGTGCGCAACCAGCAGTATCAAGAGGAAACCTACAGCCGCCTCATGTGAGTGCCCTGAGCTATGTCACATTTGTGGGAGGAAGCTGGGGAACGGGTGAGGCCCACCCCAGGGTAGGCTGGGCTGTCAGGGTCTCCCATCGACCCGGGCCCACAGCCTGGACGTGCTTCTGCAGGGACACAAATGTGCGCTTCTCTGCGGAGCTTCGACGACTGCAGAGTCTCCCGAAGTGCGAGCGGCTCCCGCTGCCTTCCTTCTTGCTGCTGCCGTTTCAGCGCATCACCCGCCTCCGCATGCTTCTGCAGGTACCTGTGTGGCCTGGGGCCTTTGCTCCTGCACTAACCCTGTAGGAGACCTCCCCGGGGCCTCCTGCCACCATGAACACAGAAACCCCTATTATGTCTGAGGGCTCAGGGATAGGGCACTTGACTTGCATGCGGTTGTTCTGAGTTACAACCCCTCTCCCCAGCATCTCATATGGTCTCCCCCAGCCTGCCAGAAGCGATCCCTGAACCAGGAATAAGCCCTGAGCAGCACTGGTGGTGATGGTGGTGGTGGGTGGATCCCAAGGATCAAACCCGGGTCAGCTATGTGCAAGGCAAACACATACTGCTGTACTATCTCTCTAGTCTCTTATCTATTCATTTAAATTTACCAAGTGAGGGTAAATTTATGAGGGCAGATTAGTATTATTTTAAATTTTATTTTATTTTATTTTCCTTTGGCTTTTGGGCTACACCTGGTATTGCTCAATGATTGTTTATTTCTGGTGGGGCTCAGGAGACCACATGGGTCCTAAGGATCGAATCAGTGTCAGTTGCATGCGAGGCAAGTGTGTTACCCACTGTCCTATCTCCAGCCTGTCCTTCTTTTTAAAATTTTTATTAGTGAAACACCATGAGGTACAGTTGTAGACTTTCAAATTTTTGTGCTTGGGTTTCAATTATACAATGATCGAGTATCCATCCCTCCGCCAGTGCCCATTTTCCACCACCACTGATCCCAGTATCCCTCCCACCCCCATGCCCCTCATCCCACCCTGCCTCTGTGGCAGGGCATTCTCTTTTGTTCTCTCTCTCCTTTTGGGTGCTGTGGTTTGCAAAAGAGGCATTGAGTGGCAATCATGTTCGGTCTATAGCCTACTCTCAGCATGTTTCTCCTATCCTGAGAGGATCCTCCCAACACTCTTTATTTGGTGCTCCCTTCTCTATCTGAGCTGCCTTTTCCCCTAGCATGTGAGGCTCTCCAGCCTCTCCTTTGTTGGTATTATTCCCATTTGAGAGATGGGGAAACTGAGAGGTAGGCAGCATGCTTAGGGACGGTTATGTGGAGGGTGAGTGGGAGGTCTCTCAGCCTTGTTAAGGCTGGTTTTCCAGCCCTGTGAACCCCAAGCGCAGCATTTGACAAGCCAGGATCCTCTGAGCTGCAGCCATCTGTGGTCCAGGCAGCAGAACCAGGCATCTAGTCACCCTTCTTCCTTGTCCCCAGAATATCCTGCGCCAGACAGAGGAGGGCTCCAGCCGCCATGAGAATGCCCAGAAGGCCTTGGGTGCTGTCAGCAAGGTGGGCAGGAGGGATGCTTAGGCCAGCTGAGGCCAGTGGGGAAGGAGGGGGAAAAGGGATGGGAGGGACTGCAGGGGGTGACTCAGTCCCTTTTACCCAGATCATTGAGCGCTGCAGCGCAGAGGTGGGACGCATGAAGCAGACTGAGGAGCTGATCCGGCTCACCCAGAGGCTGAGATTTCACAAAGTCAAGGTCAGTACCCCCAGGCCATCATCTTTGCTCTCCCCACAGTTCTTGGAGAAGTCAGAACTTCTAAGGTGCTTCTTCACAGGCCCTGCCTCTGGTCTCTTGGTCTCGGCGCCTGGAGTTGCAGGGGGAGCTGACTGAGCTAGGGTGCCGGAAGGGGGGCGTGCTCTTCACCTCGCGTCCTCGCTTCACCCCTCTCTGCCTGCTGCTCTTCAGTGACCTGCTGCTCATCACACAGCCCAAGAGGTGAGTATCAGGGTGGTCAGAAGGAGGCTGGGGAGCTGGGGAGGACGGGGGCAGGAGTACGGCTTAACTGTTCTCTCTTTTTCTTTCCCGGCAGTGGGCAGCGCTTACAGGTTCTGGACTATGCCCATCGCTCCCTGGTCCAGGCCCAGCAGGTTCCAGATCCCTCTGGACCCCCTACATTCCGCCTCTCCCTTCTCAGCAATCACCAGGGTCGCCCTACTCACCGGTTACTCCAAGCATCATCCCTGTAAGTTTTGTCTCCTGGGTACCTCACCTGACCTCTTTTTTTTTTTTCTTTTTGGGTCTTACCCAGCGATGCTCAGGAATTACTCCTGGCTCTTCACTCAGGAATTACTCCTGGCGGTGCTGGGGGACCATATGGGATGCGGAGGATTGAACCTGGGTCGGCCGCAAGCAAGGCAAATGCCCTACCTGTTGTACTATCGCACCTGACCTCTTAAGGCCCATCACTCACCTTTTACATCACTCTCCTCTGCCTTCTCCCTGGGTGCCCAGGAGCTCTCCTAACCGTGACCTTCCCTCATCCCCACCAGGTCAGACATGCAGCGCTGGCTGGGAGCCTTTCCAACTCCAGGACCCCTTCCCTGCTCCCCGGACACTGTCTATGAGGACTGTGGTGAGTACATCCTGGGGAGAAAGGGAGCAAAAGTGAATCTTAAGGGCAATATGGGAGAGAAGGGAGAGAAGCTGAGAAAAGTCTTAATCCATCGTATGGTCACTCACTCCAAACCAGACTGTTCCCAAGAACTCTGTTCAGAGTCTTCTGCATTGGCCAAGAATGAAGCACAGAGTCTGGAGTCTAAGGCTCCCCTCAAGCACTTGCACAAGAGCCCTGAAGGTGAGAGATAAATTTTATTGTTTGTTTTTCTTTTGAGCCCAGCTGTGTTTAGATTTTATTCCTGGCTCTGAGCTCAGACAGCAATCCTGGTGGGACTCAGGGGACCATATGCAGTGTCAGGAATAGAACCAGTGAACCAGGTGGGCTGTGTGCAGGGCAAGAACCTGATTCACTGCAGGACTCTCCAGCCTGGACGCTCATTTGTTTATTCTTTTAATGACTATTTATTATGCTCCTTCGTGGAGGGTGATACGTACTAAGAAAAAACAAAGTGGAGAGATTCAAGGTCAGTTGTCCCATGATTTGGCAGGTATAATTTAAAATAGGCAGCTGGAGCTTGACCTGATGATGAGGCACCACGTGAACTATAACCTGATGTAGAAGAGGGAGTTAGGTACAAGGATTAGGTACAAGGAATCAGAAGCAAGAGTCAGTGCAAAGGCCCTGTGACAGGTATGTTTGAGGAGCAGTAAGGAGGTCCCTGTGTTGGAGTGAGTGAAGGAGGGGAGAGAAGCAGAGGAGACGTTAAGGTATAAGACCAGTTCATGCCAGGAGCCCCAGGTCACTGGAAGGGCTCCGGAGCTTACTCCGAGTGAGATGAGCACTCTGACTGCAGAGTGGCCTTGACCTTCTCTGCTGTCACCTCCATTTTCAGTGATCTTTCCACCAATGCTCCAGTTTTCCCTTCTAAGTTCCCTACCTACCATGATCCTCAGGTTTCAGACCCCAAAGACTCCTTTGCCCCATGACCTGTCTCTTGTTCCAGTCGCACACTAACCTCTGTCTTTCTTTCTCCAGGCTGGCTGAAGGGGCTTCCTGGAGCCTTTCCGGCCCAATTGGTGTGTGAAGTCACAGGAGAACACGAAAGGAGGAAGCACCTTCGAAAGCACCACAGGCTTCTTGAGGCTGTTGGGTCCTCTTCAGGAACCTCCACGCCCCCTCCAACCTAATGCAGCCTGAGGAGAGGAAACACTTTGGGCTATCTGGCAGCAAGATATGGAGAGGACAAAACTCATCCATCCTTTGGAGTCTGGCTTTCAGTGAAAACACTTCATCTAGTGACTACCAACAGGGACTGACCTTCAGGATACGGCATAGCCCACCAGGAGGGAGAATCAGAGGGACTTGTGTGTGTTTCTAATCGGGATGGACGTTTAATACAGAATAGCAAACTCTACCCCAGAGCTGGCTGAGTCCCTTTCCAAAAGCACCCCTACTATATTCACAGTCAAAGAAAAGAGAGCAGGATCAGTGCAGTTATAGAGCTGTGTGGGGCCAAAGAGATGGTTCAGCAGGCGGAGTGCATGCTTTTCCTGCTTGCTCAGTCCCTAGCACTGCCCTGCCCCCTGGGCACCACCAGGATTAATCCCCTATATTGAGCTGGGTGTATCCCTGAGCTTCTCCAGATATGACCCCCAAACAAGAACAACAACAAAAACCAGCTGTATTGGAGGTGTAACCCTAGAAAAAAATTCATTTCATTTCATTCATTTCATCATCCTGTTAATCGTCGATTGCCTCGAGCAGGCCCCAGTAACGTCTCTTTCATCCTAGCCCTGAGATTATATTCACGGCTCTTTAGGAGAATGAGACCCATCATTGTTACTGGTATTTGGCATATTTGGGAGGCCACGGGGAGTTTGCCAGACTCTGCCCTGTGGGCAGGCTACATTCGATAGTTAACAAAATGAGCAAGAATCAGCCCTTCAAGTTAAAGAAGAGGGCTACAGAGACCAGCGAGACTCTGCTTGACTAGAAACAGAAACTTTTCTCTGTTTCTGGAATGTGTTAGATCCTCTTCTTTGATTTGTTTTTGGGCCACACCCAGCAATGCTCAGGCGTTACTCCTGGCTCTGCTCTCAGGAATTACCCCTGGCAGTGCTGGGCAATCCTATGGGATGCTGGGGTCAAACCCAGATCAGTTGTATGCAAGGCAAGTGCACCATCTACTGCACCATAGCTCTGATCTCAATGCGTTAGACTCTATTCTCAGGTACCTCCTATGTTCCAGAGTGTGTCTGAGAATCTGTTTGTGCATGACTGTGTTTATATATCAGGGAAAGATTAGAGTAGGTATGTGGTCTTTAACACCCTCTCAGTTCATAATTAGTTTTAAATTTTATTTTTTTTGGGATTTTGGACCACACTTGGCCATGCTCAGGGGTTACTTCTGACTTTGCACTCAGGAATTACTCCTGGTGTTGCTCAGGAGACCTTATGGGATGCCACAGGTTGAACTGGGTTGGCCGCGTGCAAGGTAAATGCCCTCTCCACTGTACTATTACTCTGGCCCTGCTCCTCCCAGATTATTGAGTGTTTGATTTCTTTTTTTTACCACCTGTTTCTCTTACTCTTCTCTCCCAGAAAGACAGCTCTGGAAGACAATATTTTGGGTGTGGATTGGCAGCCAGAAAGCAGAGCTGGGTACCAGAGCTCTGGGTTCTGGTTCTCTGGGGATATGGCAGCTTCTAAGAGGAGCCCTACGAACTAAAGCTGGGTCCTGTGGGTCCCTGAAGTCACCGACCCTTCTCCTTACTCCATCATTCCTGCCTCTATCATCCTTCGACCTGACCTAGAATCAGGGATCCAGCTTCAGTCTCAGACTCTGGACTGACTCTGAATCTTTATTTTGGGTGAAGAAATGTGAACTGTGGATCGTGGGCCAATTGGTAAGCTTCCTGGGCTTTCTGACCTTCCTCCTGGCCTTCTCACAGAAACACAGGGCCAAGCAGTGGGGAGAGAACAGAGAACTGGAGTTGTTGCTGACTCTGTATAATGTCAGAAGGAGGTAAGGAAGGGACACAGACAGAGCAGATCAGACACTTCTGGCAAGTGGGTACCCGAGCCTAGCACAGGCCTTCCTTGAGCCAGGTTATCACACCTTCTCTTCAGCTCATCATGCATGTGGACTTGCCCAGGACAGAAGCTGCCACCCTCACCACTGGCAGTACAGGGACTCTGGGAGACTCCGAAAGAGAGACATTGGCATTTGGCATATCTATGACTTTGGAGATTTACTGAGCATAGTGCTTGGCATAATAGAAACCTTCAATAAATGTTGGTGGAACTATATTAAGGCTCTTCAAGGGAGTGTGTGTCTAAAGAAGTAGTGGTTTTCAATGTGGTTTCTGACGCTCCTTGGGAAGGAGTTCTTTGAGAACAACACGGAGTTTTGCTTGGGGCTGGCTGGGGCGTGGAGACCAGACACAAAGCCCAAGCTGGCCCACTCAGCTCCTGAAGGATCTAAGATGGTGGTGGTGGGTTTACGGATGTTGGACAGAGGGCTGGGAGGTGGGGAAGAAGCTAGATTTGGCCAGTTGGTTAGGGGATGAAGATGCACTGAGAAGGACAAAAGGGGCAGTCTGCCAGCAATAAATTTCTTTTAATGAACCAGTCAAACATCTCTTTTTTCCCCCCTTCAGTGTTTGGGGCACACCCAGCAGTGCTCAGGACTTACTCCTGACTCTGTGCCAAGGGATCACTCCTGGTGGGCTTTTGGGGACCATATGAGGTGCCAGAGATCGAATCCAGGTTGACCGCATGCAAGGCAAACGCCCTATCGACTGTACTATCACTTCAACCCCTCTATACTTTTTTAAATAATAAAATGGCAAAATTTTAGGGCCAGGGAGAAAAAGCAAGGGATTGGAATGTGTGTTTCACATGCAGTAGACTGGGGTTTGATCCTGGAACTGCATGATATCCTAAGCACTGTAGGAACAGCTCGTAAGCACTCAGCTGGAAATAGCCCTTGAGCCTTGTCAGTTGTAATCCAAAACAAGAATAAAATAAAATATGTTTAGTGGTTGGAGAGATAGTACAGTGGGTAGTCGGGTGCTTGCCTTGCATGTAGACTACCTGGTTTTGATCCCCAGTATCGATACACTCCCCTAAGCCTACCAGGAGTGATTCCTGAGCATCTCTTGATATAACCAAAAAATGAACAAAACATGTATTTAAAAGAAGAAAAAAGAAAATGTGCTCAAGAGAGAATGGAAGAACCTTTAATGGAAATAATTAAAAGAAAGAAATTACAAGGGCTGAAGTGATAATATAGCAGGGAGGGTGTTTGCCCTGCACTCAGCTGACCCAGGTTCAATTCTCAGCATCTCCATAGCAACACCAGGAGTAATTCCTATTTGCAAAGCTGGGAGTAACCCCCGAGCATCGCTAGGTGTGACTGAAAAAGAAAAACAAATAAATAAGTAAATAAAGAAAATAAAGAAAAGAATTATACATCCCAAGTTAGGAAGGTTCCAGAGCAGAATGCCACAACTCTTTGTTTAATTCAATTCTCTTTTTCTTTTGTTTTGGGGCCATACCCAACGGTGTTCAAATCTTACTCCTGGCTCAGGGATCCCTCCTGGCAGTGCTTAGGGGACCATGTGTGGTGTTGGGGATTGAATATGGGTCAGTCGCATGCAAGCAAATGTCCTACCTACTGTACTATCCCCCCAGACCCCTGTATTTAATTCAAATTAGTTCCATACCTATTCAGTGAGACTTTTATGCTCAATGACTTGGAGATACAGGAATGACAAAACAGACCAGGAAGGGTCTTGCCTTCAAAAAAACCTATATTCGGAGCAAATTGGGATTGGTAGGGGAAGAACAACAATCAAGTAAGTAAATTAATGTGATAAAAACCAAGTAGTTAAAGTGCTATGAGGAAAATACAGCAAAAGCTGTAATACTGTATGTTATGGAAAATACAGGGTGTGTTCTTAAAGGAGGTTTGATTTATTTGGCTTGAGTCAAATTGTCAAGAAGAAATAAGTCTAGGGCAGGCTTAGGCAGAGTACGTAGGTGGAGAGGAAGAGAGGGAGTGCAAGAAAGAGAACAGGTGGCCTGGGCTTCTGGAGGGCTCCTCTGGGCTCTCTGGGTGGCTCAGAGATCCAAAGACAGACATAAAGTTATACAAGTACCCCGTATTTCCTCCCACGAATCACCCCTTCTCTGACTCCAGAGCTCTAAGAGTGGGATAATAAGGGAAATGAGACCCAGAGAAGGTTTCCCCCCACCCCCTCTGGGTGGATGGAAAAGCATATAAAAGACAATGACTTCTTCCTAAAGAGACTGAAAGGGAAGGACGGACACAGCCATGTTTTCTGTCATTATAAAAGCTCCTTTCCAGGGCCAGAGCGAGAGCACAGTGGGTAGGGTGTTTGCCTTGCACGTGGCCTATCCAGGTTCGATACCTGCTATCCCATATGGTCCCCCAAGCACCTCCAGGAGTAATTTCTGAGTGTAAGGTCAGGAGTAACCCCTGAGCATTGCTGGGTGTGACCTGAAAAGAAAAAAAGCTCCTTTCCATTTCGGGGTGACCTGAATATATCTGTGCGCCTCTGAAGGGCTCTCTAGCTCTCCTTCAGACAGGACAGGTAGAGGGTAGGGGGCACAAAGCACAGCTAAATGGGAAGCCATGAGGGGATTAGTGTGTGCATGGAGAAAGTGAATGGAGGGAAGATGGGAGTGCGGGGAGGGGAGGGGAGGGGAGGGGATGTAACTTGGCTTCTAGTGAATCCTCAGCCTTCTTCTCCCACTCTCCAGAATGGACATTTTGCTCCACTACCTCTAGCTTCTTGCTATCCACCTTCCTCTCCACTCTGTTTCTTCTTGTCCTTCCTGGGTCGTTGGGTTCCTTTCAGCCACTTCCTCATCGGTGTGGTAGGAGGGTCCATGGAGGACAAATCTCGGTGCTGCCTTGTGATTTTCCTGAGACCAGAGAGGAAGAGCAGCAGCTGCCATTTCTCCATCTCCTCCCAATTTATCATGTTGGGGAGGTGGAAGAAACAATATTTATGTTGGGCTTCGGAAAGGTGTAGGTGTGTCTCAGGGCCAGGTGGGAGCTGAGCCCAGGTCTGTCTCTCTTACTTATGCTCTCCCGCACCATCTGCTTCTCATATCTGTGGCCTGTGTATTTGGAGAGCAGGTGATAATGCAGGTTAGAGAAGGGCACTGGCCTCTCTTGATGCTGGCCCTCCTATGGGCTATGGGACAACACTATTGTAGCTTTTGTTGTTGGTGAGCTTAGGTCTCAATCATGACCACATGCACCAGGAGAATGAGGAACCTCCTTCTCCCCATAATATGCTCTCTAGCTCTCTCCCCTCTAATCCCATCCCTTTGAGTCCGTTTTTGGCTTCCAGAACCCTTCCACCGTCCTCTCTCTTCATCCCAGAATGTTTCTCTCAGTGACCAGGTGAATCAAAAGGAGGGGAGAACCCTGCCACGGATCCTGGGGTTGAAGGAAAATACCATGGTTCAGACGCCTTTGAACGTGTAACTGACCAGGGTTCGATACCCAGCATCCCATCTGATGCTCCCAGAACCACCAGAAGTAATTCCTGAGTGCAGAGGCAGGAGCAACCCCTGCAGCTCCCACACTGATGGCTGCCCCTCCCCTGGGGCTGTCCTCTTCTTTTCCCTATCCCTGC